TTTTTGGTAAGGCCTGCCAATGCACAGAAGGGGACATTATCCCTGAGCCATCAAGTACTCAACACTCAAACGCAGAGATAGTACCAACAAGTACATCACTTCATAGAGATTTAATTCAGATGGATTTATCTGCTGGTGATACCCAGAATTTGACCAAGCCCAATCTCATCGATATGGATTTTCTAAAATTGTTTAATGATGAAGTTGAGGTTCTTAGTGGTTTGGCGAATCTGGAAATGGATCTACTCAAAGGAAACACGGCAGCCGTTGGTAGAGAGGACTTGATTTGCTTACTAATGCAGGAGTCTCATCGCCTTGCTGAGGAACAGCAAAGAGCTAGAGGAAACTGCACCCAAATTCGTAACGAACGCAGTTCTTTGACTTCGCTGGATGGGTTAAAAATTGTTACAAAATTGTTACTACGTCTGCACAGCGGTGGCGACAGTGCCTCAGACTCGAGGCAGCGCCGCAGAAAGGCGGAATCAAGCACTGATTCAGGTTTGGACGAGGATGTCAATGCCTCTGTTACTACTGTTGTTGAAAGTAGAGTCTCCTCTACGCTAGAGGAGAAAAATGAATGTGTCTCAGGAACGATCCTTGGACTCAATGAGGAAGAAGGAAAGGAGGCCATCCTTAGAGGATTTTTGGATGATGTGGAGAAATTCGACGGCGTCTGTACTCAAAATTGCGCTGAAATTTGTCTTAAATCGTGAGTCTTGGCATCAGTGTTAATCATCCTAAAACTACTTGAAAGCAAGGTCCTAAGACGGGTTTGGGAAGTTCGAGCGGACATTTTTTTCCTTTAAGAACAGCAAACATGCTTCGCAATAAGCAGAGTGCATTGTCATGTTGGTCACCTCATTTGCCACGTTTGCAATTATTTGAAAGTGTTTCTGTGACTGATGTGCACTAATGCCACATACTGAACATATCAATTAGCATCTACCCAGTGCAAATCAGCAGTATAAAACTTGAACATGGCCTAATTTAAGTTTAAGTATACTACATTGACTCATGAATGTCAAATACCACATCTTAGCTGATCAGAATGACTCACTCAATTACCTCTATATGGGATAAATTAAAAAATTGACCAGTAGTGTGACCGACTTGAGCACTTGGTAAGTTTTGAAACGTATGTCAAGAATTCCCCTACTTATGCGAAAAATTAATCGGATTAAAAAATGATTAATTAATTGCTAAAGGATTGTATAGCAGCAAGGGAAACGCATTGATTTTCAATTTTTCAACTCGGCTATAAAAGCCCAAGTTTTCCTAATAGTTTTTTAAGGCAATCAGAAAATTCAGTGGTCAAAATGCTTGTGTTAA